GGCGTCCGGGCGCCATGGGCCGCCTGCACTGCACGCAGGACCCGGTGCCCGAGGCCGTGGGCGGCGACATGCAGCAGCTGAGCCAGCTGGGCGCACAGGTGGGACCCGCCGAACTGGACGGGGCGGGGCCGGGGTCCCCGCGCTTAGGGGTGTCCGCGACGGCAGATCCAGAGCGTCTGGGGGTGCGGTTGGGGGTGTGAGCTGGGCTTCGGGAGGACCTGGGGGAAATGGATGGGGTCCGAGGGTTTTGAGAGAGCAAGATGAGGGGTACGGCCCAGAGGGGAAGGGCTGTTAGGGGGCTGAGTAGTTGGGAACCAGGCTGAGGCCGGGGGGGGGGCGGGGGGGAGAGGGGAGGGGTCATCCTGGCCGGGGCAAGTCTGGAGGAGGGCCGAGGAGGGCGGGAGGGCCGCCGGGGCCAGGCCAGAGTGGGATCTGGGGCGGGGCTGGCGGCGTCCGGGGACCCCGCTGGCGGCCACACCCCTGGCAGGCCAGGGCTGGTAGCTTCGGACCGCAGTGGCAGCCGGGGCTTGCGGCCTTGGGGCACCCTGCTTCGCTGCTGCCCGTGATGTCCCTTTTCGCTCGCTGAGTTACCATGTGATTCTCACCGCCACTGTAAAGCTCTGGCTTATTTCTCTGGTGGGTCCTAAACTCCCCAAAGGTGGGATCTGTCTCTTCCTGTCCCCGTTTCGTCCCCCACAACACCCTCCACATTTGTAGGAGTGCTTGATGAATTTCTTAAAAGCAACTACTTTTTATTTTTATTTATTTTTTGCTTTTTTGTTGCCAATACTGGGGCTTGATCTCAGGATCTCAGGACTCCTGCTCTGGCTTAGCTTTTTTTTTGTTGTTGTTGGTCGTGAAGCTTGAAATCTGGGCCTGGGGCTGCCCCTCAAGCTCTTCAGCTCAGGGCTAGCACTCTACCACTTGAGCCACAGTGCCACTTCCGGCTTTTTCTGCTTATGGGGTGCTGAGGAATCCAGGGCCTCATGCATGCAAGGCAAGCGCTTTACCACTGAGCCACCTTCCTTCCCAGCCACCCCTCCTCTTTTTTTTTTTGCTCAAGATTGCCACTTTATCACTTGAGTCATACTTACACTTCTGGCTTTTTGCTAGCTAATTGGGGATAAGAGTCTCATGAACTGGCTTTGAACCATGATGCTTGGATCTCAGCCTTCTGAGTAACTAGGATTTCAGGGTGAGCTGCCATGCCCCCCCACCCCCCCTTCAAACTATTGTCTTATAAAGTAATTGTATCCATGATTAAATGTGTGGAACATATTCTCAGCCAGCATTGTTAAGTAGAAATACATTGCCAGCCAGTAATTCCGTACTTTCTAGTAGCCACATTTAAAAAATGAGACAGCCAGGTGTTACACAGGAGGCTGAGATCTGAGGATTGCAGTTTATAGCCAGCCTAGACAGAAAAGTTCCTGTGAGACGCTTGTCTCCAATTAACCACTCAAAAACCGGAAGTAGAAACGTAGCTCAAAGTAGTAGAGCAGAAAGAGCTCAGGGACAACACCCAGACCCTGAGTTCAAGCCCTATGACAGACAAAAAATAAAAATAAATAATTAAAAAGAGAAGCAGGATGATGGTACACCAGACCAGGCTACTTGTCAACCTGTGACTCTAGCACAGCATTTATCTAGCATATCCATGGCCCAGGCTTCTATCCTAACATCACAAAAAAAAAATCAAGAACAAATGGAAAATATCTCTCACTCTCTCTCTCTCTCTTTCTCTCTCACTTGTTTTCCAGTCCTGGGGCTTGAACTAGGCCTGGGCACTGTCCCTGAGCTCCTTTGGCTCAAGCACTTGAGCCACAGAGGAGCCACTTCTGGCTTTTTCTATGATTAATTCAAGATAAGAGTTTCCTGACTTTGAACTGCAATCCTCAGATCTCAGCTAGGATTATAGGCATAAGCCACTGGGGCCTGGCTGGAAAATTGATTTTAATATATTTTCTTTAACCCACTATAACTAAATATCATTTTAACATCTAATCCATATTCAGGTATTAATGAGATATTACTTTTGGGGGGTGGTACTGGGATTGAATTCAAGGCCTTTGGCATGTCAAAAGTATATTCTCCCTCTGAGCTCCATCCCCAATCCTGCTATTTTACTGGGGCATATCTCACACAAATAGTACATCTCAAATTAGGCTGGCACTTGTGGCTTTTGGCCACAGAATTACACAGTACAGTTTCAAGTGCTCTGTGTGTGTGTGCATGTGTATGAGTCACTATATGCACACACACACCAGTCCTGGGCTTAAACTCAAGGCCTGTGTGCTGTCCCCACAGTTTTTTTGCTCAAGGCTAGTACTCTACCACTTGAGCCACAGCACCACTTCTAGTCTTTTCTGAGTGGTGTTTTGGAGATAAGAATCTCACAGCGCTGGGAAGGTGGCTTAGTGGTAGAGCACTTGCCTTGCATGCCTGAGGCCCTGGGTTCAATTCCTCAGCACCACATAAACAAAAAGAAAAAAGCCGGAAGTGGCGCT